CAAAAATCTAAACTCCATATCCAGTGTGAGCTGCTGCTTTCCCATTTTGGTCAGAAAATTCCTCTCCAGGCTGGGAATCAAGGACCCCTCACTGTCTCAGCCCTGAGAAATGTAAACAAAAGTGAGTTGGGGGAAGCAAATTTGGGGTAAATGACTTCATTACCTGGGGCTGCAATTGGAAGATTAACCCCCAATGTGCAAATGGACCATACTTTTATAAGTATGAAAATCCATGATCCATTTTCCATTTTTTGCGTGTAGCCCCTGGGGGGGAGCTTTTTGTCCCCTAAATGTACCTGAAGGCCCTGCAATAAATATAACCACTTTTTATTCTCTTAATTTCGTCTGGCCTCTGTTTTTAGGGAGTCCCAAAAAGGCATCACACGTAGGTATCAGATCTTCCACTGGCCACAGAAGAGAGAATCCTTCCTGCAGTGTGAGAAGGGGAGCCTGCAGCCGAGACCAGGCAGGAGCAGGAGCAGCTCGGATGAGGAACCACGCCGAGCATCTGGAATGGGCAGAGCTCCTGCTGCTGTCCAAGTGGGGAAATACAGAAACATTCTCTGCTGCATTTTCACTGGGACTGAACTCAGCTGAAGGCTAGAAAGCCAATTCCTTGGTTTTCCCTCTTTGATCACTGACCTGCGTGGTTTCTGCAGCTCTTCTGGGCTCAGCTGTCTCAAGACTGATTTTCTCTTCCCTGGTGCCTGAAGTGTTCCAGTGCTGAAGCTGTCATGATTCCTGCCTTTGGGAATGTGTCTGTCTCACATGCCCATCTCAGCCTCAGTTTATGGTGGCTATTCATACTGTGCAGATCAGTGCTGAAGGAGCAATGCAATCACCCCTTCCCCTTCCTGCCAGTGGGAGGGAATTGCTGGAAAACAGAGCTGTTCTCCCCAGTTTCTCCTCCCCATGCTGTACAAAGTTATTACCCCGGCATTAGAAACTGCTGGACTTGCTAATAATGAAATTATGGACTTGCATAATGAAGTTAACATGTAACACATCAAGTGCCTCCTTGCTGCACTTTTTTTTCTTTTTCATAACACTTGAGGGGCCACGGGGGCAGAGTGCTTGTTGAAACCATGCCAAGGCGTTGGCTTTTCCTGCCTTGCCTGTGATTACTGCTCAAGGTAGATTTACCCTGATATGACTCAACCCAGGGCAGGAGTGTGTGCAGAAAAGCAGAATATTGAGCCTTGCAGTGATCTGCTTGGATGAACACTGGTCAATAATCTGCAGGCAGGCCCTCAGATTCATTTGTCAAGGAGATAATAGAAGAGTAAGTTATCTGTGAATTAAAGGGAAAAAAACCCCAACCACACTGTAATACAGTGACACAAAAGCTGGAATTGATTATATTTGCATTGTGACAAGTCATGTGAGAGGACTCAGCCAAGCCTGTCAATGGCTCTAACTAATGACTTTCTAACCCCTGTGCTCACAAAATGATTTATCTGTTTCCAGCAAGCATTTTAAAGGTTGCATGTGCTGACTACAGCTGTTCCAAACCCTGGTAGCAGAATGGTTGTCTCCTGCAGGATTCATGAATTTTGCCTGCTATTTCCAGCTGGAATCTGGAATGCAGATCATGTTTGACCAGGGGGTTTGCCCAGGCAGGCCTTCACTGGGCATCTTTACACATCACACCTGGGGCTGTGCAAAGTGCTGAAACTCAGCAAGGGCCAGGGAGATTCTTCATTCTTCAGGACATCCCTGAGCTCGGGGTGAGCCCAGTGCTGGCCACCAAGTCCTGGTACCAGAAGAAATTCTAAACTACTGTTTCTTGGCAGCCCATGGATTGTTTGCATGGCCAGAGCTGCCTTTGAGGGTCCATGTGCACAGTCCCTGTTGGCTGGAGGGGTTTTACAGAAGCTACAGACACGACCAAGCTTTTCAAGCCAGCCTTGAAAGGCTTTGGAGGAGGAAGAGTCCAGGCTCCTGCACTGCCCAGCTGCACATCCCAGAGGGTTTTCCCTGCTGCAAGCAGCACTGAACAGGTCACCCCGACAGCCTCTGCCCCTCTGTGGCTGCCAGGCCCTCCAGGGCAGCAGCTCTGCACAGGAAGAGGCAGATTTGCTGTTCTGCTCCTCACAGCTTGCTCAGCCTGGCTGCCAGCTGCCTCCCAGGCTCTGCTACGCTTCTGTCATTTCCAAACCTTTGTAAATTCTGTCACCCTCCCGAAGTGGTCTGAGCTGAGGGATTACAGCTTCTCTGCTGTGGCATGGAGCTGTGAGCTGCTCTGGAGCTGCACACTCAGCTGTAGGGGCAGCACCACGCTCCCCAGGCTCTGCTCACCAAACCAAGGCATCCTAAAGCATCCCTGCTCTCTGCAGCAAACCCTAGCTGGCAGATTCCTGCCTTTCAAGAACGGGACTGGACACGGGGGACATCCCTGGGGCACTGTGGTGAAGCCAAGGAAGCAGAGATGAACCCAGACCCAGCTGTCTGCCAGGGCACACCTGCATCCTGCTCTTGTCTCCCCAGGAAAGCAGCAGCCTGCTTTTTGCTTCTGCCTGGGCCCTGCACAGTCCTTCACAGGAGAGCTATGAAACCTGTATCAAAGCAGAAAGACTTCTCAGAAATGAGATAATTAAGACTAAAAATCAATGTGATTGGAAACTCTCATTTTCTGATGGTTTTCATAATTCAGATTTCTTGTTGACAGTGTGCTGCAATACACCCCAGCTCCTGTGGTATTCATCTTAAATGGCTCAGAGCAAACCCTTCCCTCTGCTCATTCCCTGCCAGCCTCAAACAAGACATGGGAGGAAAAACAGATCCGCTCTGAGTGGTGAAAATTTTCTTCAAGTTTAAGGAAACTGTGACCTTGAAACAATCCAGTGGGAATGGGAGCCTGGACCGATTTCCAGGAGTTGAAGCACCTCTGCATATGTCCGTGATGACAATCAGAAATCAGAGCATGAAAATACAAATGTCAAGCGAAAGCATGCAATTGTTCATGCCTGGCTGAAATCAAACATCCTGATCTCCCAGCACAGTTTTACTCCTGTAAGTGGTGCAGATAGTCTCAGTCATAGGGAGATATTCGTGGCAGGAGCTGAAAACACCATTAAAGGCTTACAGAGTGTTGCCTATAATTTAGGATCCACTAAAAGCACAAACGCCTGTTTTTCAATCCTTAAATATTAAGCTGGCATGTGAAGCTTATTTTGTCCATTTTTTTTTCTTTCTCTCTTACACCAGGGGTTTTGCTGCTTCTGCACCTTGCTGCCCTGGGGGATCGTGGGCAGCAGCCCAGGCAGCTGGGAGCAGCCTGTGTCAGGAATGGGCATGGCACTGGGGATGGGAGGCAGGAGAGATGCTCTGAGGCTTCTGCCCCTGCACCTCCCCTCCCTCCTGGCTTCCCAAACGAGCCCAGGTGCATCCACAGGACCATCCAGTTCTCACTTTCCCTCTGCTTGGAAAATCCCCCTTCCTGAAAGGATAATTTAGATCCAGACAGAACAATTTTCATATTATTTTCCCATGTTTTAGGGTTTCTGCAGGACCAGAGGGCACAGGAGAGACAGCTCCTGACCTTTAGAGTTGTCACCCATCTGAGAGGGAGGGTAACAGCTCCTGCCACCACCCTGTCCCTCTTCCATGCCACCGTGGAGCAGTTCACTGAAGAGTTCCCATTGCTCACTGCATTCACAGAGGGCTCTGCTAAAGCTGCTGAGCTCTGCTGCTGAACTCACCTGGTTCGTGTCCACAGCTGTCCTGAAGACAGACAACTCTGCTGAGCCCAAATGTAACACTCCATGTGATGGCTGTATCAGGGGGAGGAGTATTTAATGTGAAAACTTGCACCCTTCAGTGCCGCTGCACAGGTCAGCTCCAGCAGAAACAAAGGCTGTGTTGGCACCGGAGAGGGCAGAGCCAGGAGAGCTTGTCCAAACCGTGGGGATCACTGTGACACATCAGGCAGCACAGCCTTTGGCAGGAAAGCAGGTTTGCTGCTGTTTCTTGCCCTTGGAGGAATTTTGGAGGGGAAGAGCCTCTCTTGCAGGCAGGACCTGCTCCAGCCCCAGCTGCTGTGAATACTTTGCAACAAGCAGCACCTCTAAAACAGCATTTTTAGTTTTAAAAGATGGAAAACACTGAAGTCCTATGAAATCCAGCCCTTGCCTGCACTCAGGGGAGTGGTCCATGGTGTTCCCACCAGCTGTTCCCAGTAAAGAGTGACCAGGGAGGCCTGAGCTGGCTTTTGTGGGGAATGAGAGGTATTTGGAACAAGACAATGTGCTGGGGGTGTATGAGGATTAATTTAAACATCTCCACCGTTTTAATTTCCTTTTGTCCAAAGTCCCTAAGCAATAATAAGCTTAAATTAAATGTTTACATCTGCAAATGTGGCTCACAGAGTGATCTTTATCTAATTCCCACTTATCTTTCAGGTGTTTGGTGTACAAGGTGAGCCTGAGCCAGGTCAGGTAACCCTGATGGAGCTGGAGCCCAGCCTGGGGTGGGCTCCCAGGGTGCAGGGACCCAGTGTGGAGGTGTTTAGGGGGTGAATGATCCCTTTGTGCTGGGAGAGTCCTTCCTGTGCACAGACTGGTCCCCAGGGAGGGGCTGCCCTGCTCACCAGTCTCTCCCAGCATCTCCATGCCATGAGCAGCCAGTGCTGGCCCATCACTCCCCAGGACTCGTGGCTGAAGGCAGATGTTCCTCACAAAGGAGGAAAAACCTCTGCACTGGCATTTCCAGCTGCCTGATGCTGCTGTCCTGATGGTGTTTGGTACCAAGTGTTCCACTGGGGTAGCAATATTTACAGCTAACATTCCTTATCTTGGCAAAAAAGTTCATGGTCTTTTCTGGACTGGCTCTGCTTTGTGTCCAGGGTTATCTGCTTCATGTCACAGCTGTCTTACAGTTTGTATTTGTTAAGTTACATCTTCCTGCTTTGCCTGATCCCACTGGCAGCTTGGTTATATGTGACTATTTTCTTAGCAGCCTTTTTTTGCAGGGTTCACTTTTCTGCTTTCAAAAGAGAAGCACTGATCTTCAGAAATCACAGCTAGCACACTCTCCACTGACCATGCAGCTGCTGAACCAGCTGGTAATGCTCACCTTTCCATAGCATGCCTGCAGATTTAAATCCTAGAATCAATCTCATCAAGGTAGGTAAATCTTTCCCAGTTTTAAATAGGGGTAATTTGAAGTATCTGGAGTGCTCTGGAAAACTTCCCTCATCTGTGATGCTGTCAAAGGAACCTCTGATGCCTTAGGATTTTAGCTTTAGTATTTTTCAAGTCCTGTACTGCTTTAGGGTATAACTCTAAACTCCATAACCTGTCAGCTACTGTTCTCCCATGATATTCAGACAAAACAATTCCTCTAAGCCTGAAGCTCAAGGACACCTTACTGCCTCAGGCCCCAGAAGTATAAACAAAAGTGAATTGGGGAGAGTAAACTGGGGGTAAATGACTTCATTACCTGGAGCTGTAATTGGAGAATTAACCCCTGATATGTAAATGGACCAAACTTATATCTGTCTGAAAAACTCATGACCATCCTTGGGTGTAGCCTCTGAGGCTTCTGACTGCCCCAGGTGTATCTATTTCATAAATACCCACTTTATTCTCTCAGTCTTTCTCTTAGCCTCTGTTCTAGGGAGCCACCCGAGGGCATCACCTCCAGCTGTACACACCTGAGTGTGGCTTTCAAAGCCCAGCAGACTGGAGCCTGTCCCCAGGACAGTCACAGCCCAGGCAGTTTCCAGGGGTGGCAGCACATCTGAGAGCACAGGAGTCCTAAAGGTGGACAAAGGTGATCACGGGCTTCTGCCTGGTTTGGGGTCACAGTCAAAGGGCAGCTGAGGAGTCAACTCACCTGTGTGACAGCACAGAGCAGCTTCCCATAGGAATAGACAATGATGGCAAAAGGGATTACAAGGCAAAAGATGAAAAGACAGATGATGTAGGATGTGTTGTTGGCATCCTTGGAATGCCAGTTCCCAGAGCAGGTTATCCCTGATCCTTCTGGCCCATAGCTGCTCCAGCCAAACAGCGGGGGAACAGTCCAGAGCAGGGAGTATGTCCAGGACAGGATGATGCCTGCCCAGGTTTTCCTGTAGTTGGTGGTGTCAGGCTCTGCTATTCTCGTCATGGTGCAGTAACGCTCGTACGAAAGCACAGCCAGGGAGATGAGAGAGATGATGCCTGTATCAAACCAGACACTTGGATCAGCAAAAAATGAATGAATGAAGGCTTTGCTCTGTCTCCCCAGAAAAGATTTCAAGCTATGGATGAGACTGGCTTTGCAAACAAGGTGGGCAAGGACTGGGACTGGAGGTGTCCCCCTAAGAGCGAGAGGTGCTGAGAGCCTGACTCCACTCACCAAAAGCTGGGGGTGCTTACACACGTGTCCAGCCAAAGCCAGTCAGTTATAAATGCTGATCATTAATTAAGCACATCTGTCTGAATGGATACATGTATATGTGTGTTTGGGTGACCTGCAGCAAATTCTTGGCTTCTCTATCAGATTTGGTTCTTGCTGCACCTGTAAAATTCGAGATCAAATCCAGATTTGACCAAAGTGTGGAGCTGATCAAGTTCTCCTCTGCCAGCTCTGAAGTGCAGCCTTCTGAACCCTTCTTGGGGAAGTGCCCCACAGGATTTTCAGATGGATTTCAAGCTCTGCATAATGAAGAGCTGTAGATTAAACCCATGTCCTGAAGCCCCCTGTGCCAGCAAGTGCCCCCCTGAGGGGTGCAGGCAGCAAAGAGCCTTTGCAGAAACAGTTATGGGTCTCCTGCAATTGGGGTACTGCCAGCAGACACCAAAGGGGCAATAAAACCACCAGCAGCAAATCAAAGGCTTCTTTTGCATGCAGAAATGCTGGAGGGGAGGTGATTTCTAAAGCTGATATAAGAGTTTGCAATTTCCCTCCACACACTGCATTTCCCTTCCAGGCTGCATTGTGGAAGCGATGCTGGCAGGTACAAGGGAGTATTGATGGATGCTGAAACGCTCTTGCCAAATAAAGGTTTTACATGCACGAATTTGGCTTATTACCTTGTATAACTTCATGAGGGACAGAGATGGCAGCAAACACCCAAACTGCAGCTGCTGCAAATATCTCTTTGTGTCAGTGTCTGTGTGGCTGTGTGAAGCCTGCATGCCAGGCTAAGCCGTGTTCCTGGCGTTGTTCAGGTCTGTACTGATGGGCAGAGGGATGCTCTGCTGGTAAAGCCTCGCTCCATGTGAATGCTGGCTGGGGGAGAGCCCCACAGGTGTGTGCCAGTGTCTGCAGTGGTACAGCAGGCTGGGAGAGACTGTCAGCACCGGGAAACTTGAAGACACGAGCTATTGTTATGTGTAACATGATATAAATTGTACCTGCTGTCCCCACAGCCCCTTCACTGCTGTCCCGGAGCTCCCTCTCTGTGTCCCCGGCTGGCAGGTGAGGACACACCTGGGTAAAGGTACAGGCAAACAGGGCTGCTCTTCCCTGCCGGCCTGTCCTGCCCAGTGCTGCCCATTCCCGCACTGGGATCCGGGGTCAGGGCTGGAAGCCACCAAATTTTCCAGGGATCGTGGCTGTGCAGGCTCAGAGCTGCTGAGCTGTGGCACTCAGGGACATGACTTGGTCCTGGGCCTGGCAGTGCTGCATTAGTAATTGAACTCCATGACCTTAAAGGTCCTTTCTAACCTAAACGAGGCTGATTCTATGCTCCGTTTTCATCCTTTAAACTTTTAGAGCTCTTCTTTTCGCAGCCGCTGGAACACGTTGTGGACACTTCGCGCTGCCTGGGAGCTTCTGGGCTTTTCCCAGCAAAACCTCCACTGAAGCTGGGAGATTTTCACCGCACCCTGTGCTCCTGGCGTCCCCTCCCCACGCACACCCGAGCTTCATGGAGCCCGCCGGACACACACCCAGCGCGGCTGAGGCTGTGGGGCTGTGGGGCTGAGCTGTGGGGCTGTGCTGAGGCTGTGGGCCTGAGCTGGGGGGCTGTGGGGCTGTGCTGAGGCTGTGGGCCTGAGCTGGGGGGCTGGGGGGCTGTGGGGCTGTGGGGCTGTGCTGAGGCTGTGGGGCTGTGCAGCCATGGGGGGCTGCCCGTGCCCTGCCCTGACCTCCCGGAGCTGTCCCGTTCCTTTCCGGAACTGTCCCGTCCCTTTCCCTCCCCGCAGCTGCTCCGGCTGTCCCTTTCCCTCCCGTCCTCTCCCGGAGCTGTCGCATCCCGTTCTCTCCCGGAGCTGCCAGGGCTGTCCCATCCCGTCCCTTTCCCTCCCGGAGCTCCCGGGGCTGTCCCATCCCGTCCCCTCCCGGAGCTCCCGTCCCGTTCCCTCCCAGAGCTCCCGGGGTTGTCCCATCCTGTCCCGTCCCGTCCCCGGTCTCAGCCGTGCCCCGCGGTGCAGCCCCCGCTCCTCCCGCGTTCCGTCCCGGCCCGGGCGGGTCGCACTCACCGCAGAGGGCGGTGGCGAAGCCGTGCCAGGCGCAGGCGGCCCCCGGAGCGGCGCTGGCCCCCGCGGCCAGCCCGAGCGGGGTGCCCAGGGCGCAGCCCAGCAGGTCGCTGAGCGCGATGTTGAGCAGCAGCAGGTTGATGGGAGAGCGCAGCGCACGGAAGCGCCAGAAGAGCAGCAGCACCAGCAGGTTGCTGCAGAAGCCCAGGCTGCCCAGGGCGCCCAGGCACACGGCGGCCGCCAGCCTCCCCGCGGGGCTCAGGCAGCGCTCGGGCTCGTCCCGGCCATTCCCCGCAGGCTCCGGGCGCCCGCATCCCCGCTCTGGATCCGCGCCCGCACCGCGGGCACGGCGGGCACGGAGGGCGGGCTCCGCTCCCCGCCGAGCCCCGCAGCCCCGGAGGGGCCCGGGCACCGCACGGGGCCGGGCCGGGCTCCGGGAGCTCGCCCTGCAGCCAGGGGGGAGGAGGCAAAGCTGAGCGTGCCGGTAAATGCAGAGCAGAAGCGCAGCGCTCGCTGTGTGCCGGCACCGCCCGGGCGATGTGCGAGCCTCGGCTCGGCCGGCAGAGCTCTCGGGGTAAAGCTGAGAAGAGCTCGGGCTGACCCAGGAGTTCATAGAGTTCAGGAAAGGTGAAGCTTCAGCTGCCAACCACAGTGTTATAAATGAGAGACAAAAGTCTCGATATTCAGCAAAACTTAGATTGCTTTATTTGATATAGACAGAGCAAGGAGCGCGCTGGGGAACGTGAGGGATCACCGCCCGCTCCACGCTCGACTGAACCGTGGTTTGCAGCCTCTTCTTATACTGTGGTTTCTCGTTGTAATCAATAAATTTTGGGGGTTTTTTGTTGTCGTAAGCAGTGGTGGTTGAATAAACATCCTTACACAAATTCACAAAGCCTCCGGGCGATAATCAGTCACAGATAGCCATCGGGTCCTCGTAGATAACCACCAGAGAAGTTCTGGGAGTCTGGTCCTTGAGACAAGCAGTATTGATCAGACAAAGGCAGGAAGGGCTATTGGGAAGTCCGATTTTGCAAGCTGGTAGCCGATACAACTTATTTAGAAAACATAATATAACATAACATAGCGTAACATAATGTAACATAATACGACATAATATAACATAACACGGTGATTTTAAACAGAATGATTTTATCATATAATTTCCTTTATCTAGTGTTCATGCTTCACTTCAGAGCTTAGTATTCTGGTTTATACAAACCCCAATGCTTTTGTGATTAACACGAATCTTTTCTCAATTATCACAACAGTAAAGTATTTCTTATCAGTTGAAGTTCTTAAAATCTAAGTTCTGGTCATATCCCGCCCTTCAGGAAGGAGAGCACCCTCAGACATTTTAATGTTTTGATGTGCTGACCTAGAGGGGAAAAAAACCACTGTTCTACTCACAAGGGAATTTTTCTCTGTGTTTGCAAATAAAATGTGAATTTGTCCAATTTCCCGCAGCAATTAGTACTGAAAAGGAGAGTGTGAAGCCTGATATCCCCCTCTTTTTAGTCTCTTTTTATCAGTTGTTTATTACAGGAAGTTGTTTATCTACAATTCAGAGTATTTCTGCTTGTAATGACCTTTAAGTTATTTTTTTTTTTTTTAAAAACCAAATCCCTGGACTTTGGAAAAGCTGGCTGCCTCTTGCCTTCCCTCTGGGCTGCACAGGGGAATGGTGGGTTAGGGATGGACAGGGTCCAGCATGATGCTATTATTTATCATCTTTTCCGAAGATGATGAATGTAACTCAAGAGGTCAGACACGTGAAACGCTGCATTCAGATAAAAAATAAGGATGGAAAGCAGACCCTTCACCGAGTTTGTTGTCCTGCTCTGGAGATGTCCTTCGATGTCTTTCACGGAGTGATGGGCCCAGAACTGGACCAAGGATTGGAGGTGCATCCATCCAGGTAGTTTTTAATGCAGTGAAGAATGTTCCTGTTCAAGCTCTGGGCTGCCAGTTTTTCCAGGAGAATGCTGTGGGGTGTTTACCGGAAAAATGTGTCAAAAAGTCTTTTTGATAATGCAAAATGGGTTTGATGTGACTGTTTCATTTCACCTGGCAAATCGTATCACTTACTATTTGTTGTGGCAAGAGGGATTGCCGACTCATTTTGGGGAAAGAGCAGCACATCTGTCTCCTTGATCATCTGGGAACTTGGCTGGAATGCATGGCTGCTGGGGAAACGGGTTTCTCCTCTGAGAAAGGATGGGAATTACCTAAACCCAAGTGTGGAATACGGAGCGATTTAATTGCGTTTCCCTCAATTTTAGCAACGGCCACGAGATGGCACAGGGCCGCTCCGAGGAGGATGGGAATTGCATCCCTGGGGAGAAGGCTTTTCCAAGTCGCCTGGAGCAAAGGGCTGGCTGAGCGCTCGGAAATGACGATTCCCGTGAGCCGTGGCCCCAAGCCTGGGTGGCACAGCCGGACAGGGGGTGACCCGCACCCTGCGCCCCTTGGCATCGCCCTGGCAGCTCTGTGCATGGGGGAAGGTGATCTCCAGATAAATGCCTTGCTCAAGGGCTCTCTTTTGGCGGCCCAGCTCACCGTAGGGCTGGGTACGTTCCCTGCCAGGCTGGGAGCTGTAAATCCCTTGTCCTAATGTGGAAACCCCACCAGCCACAGCCACCAGTGGCACTGAAGTCAACAGAGTGGTGGCAAATTATTTTTTCTCTCTTACTAATGATAAGAAAAGTAATAATCCTCCTACAGGACTAATTACAGCCAGAGAAATTGTAGTGATGAAAAGAACTCCCTTAGTCAGCATTCGAAAAGTTACAATTTACATGAACTAAGAGGCTTATGTGAATAATGATTATTATTTTGTACATGGCTCTCTCTGGTCCCATCTATTCTGATCTCAGTAAATCAGGGTGTAATTAATCACAGAAGATTAAATGTGGCAGGACAAAGACTGGAAAATTCTATAGAAGCAAAACTCTGGTTGGTTTTGACTTAAAATAAACTTGGGTTATCTGTCACAAAGGACGTGACAGCTCTGCTTCCGACTGCCATCACCTCTTGCTGCTTTCAGGAATCAGTGTCATTCTTATTTCAAGTTTTGGGGTTGTGTTTTTTATTTCTTAATGTTTTTGGTGGTTTTTTTTTTGTTTTTGTTAATAATAAAGGTCTTTATAAATAATGTCTTTGTAGAGCTGTGAGCCCCAGAGTGTCTCAGAGATGTCCTGGCCCTGAGCTGCAAGCTTGGACCACGCTGCTGACACATGGTTTCAGATCTCTCTGCAAAACGTTGTTCTTGTGGTGTTCATTAGTGCAGACCTGGGGTCTGTGCTCCTCTCCAGCCTTTCAGCATCCCTAAAAGATGGGGTGTGGTGGAACAGGTGAGCACAGCACTGTGGTCCTTGTGCAGCCAGGAGACCCGAGTGTTAGCATGGTTCTCCATGCCAGGGAAGGGGTCTGGGGAGCAATGTGTGTATCAGGGAACTGGAAATTAAATATAATGGACATCAAACTGTAAAAAAGATTTTAATTTAGCACTGGAGGCAAATAGACACCAAAAAGGCAAAGTAAAAGCAAAATAAATATATTGCTTGGGATGTTAAAGTCAGTAACGTCTGTGTGAAAGACAGCCTGGTACAGAAACAGGGTGTTCCCTGTGCAGAAGCTTCGAGAGCAATAAGGGAAGTGCTTTGGCTAGTTGGAGTCACTGGCCTCTTCCCTCTCCATGTGGCCCAGGCAGATGGGTGCATGGCAGGTAAAGCTCCTGGAGCAGAGCTCAATGGCTACAGAGGTGTTAAGAAGCAAAGCCACTGCTCACAGCAGAGAAGAAAAACAAGAAAAAAAAAACAAACAACAAAAACCCCAGGAGAAAATAAGATTTAACTCTTTTAACCTTTGAGACAACAACATTTCTGAACAGGTGTGTCAGTGACCAATTTCCTGGGACACATTTCTCACAGCAGGGCATCCTCAGGATCCCTTTCATATCACAGCAAGACAGAGGAGTTGTGAGGTACAAGCATATAAGCACTATTTGCCTTATGGTGAGTCACAAAAGAGGCTGTCAAAGAAGAAGGTAGATAATAAGCTGTGGAAACAAGGGAAAAGCTTAATGACTTTTTCTCAATCTCTTATTTCAAGCCCTGTTAAGGCTCCTGGGATGTACTAAAAGCCAGAGAGGTCCCTGTGCTCTGCACATTAAAGACATTTCCATTTTTTTTTACTTTTTTTTTTTCCAGAACTGGGCAAGGACAAATGGAAGGGGAGTCTCTCAGCCATCAGAAGCTGCCCTGCTGCTGCAGCTGTGCCCTGGTGCCCTGAGAGCAGCACAGTGCTGGCTCCTGGCAGGGCAGTGCTGGGAGCTCGGGGGGCACTCACTGCCCGTGGAGTGACTCCCTAAAAATCCTCCCAGCTGCCAGCTGCACAAAGGCCACTCCGTGGGCTACCAGACCACAACTCAGCTCTCCTGGCTGCAAAACCCAGGTGACCAAGCTGAGCCTGGTGCCAGCTGCCCCTGTCCCCTTTGAAGGGTGCACAAGTGCCACAGCAAAGGCTGTGGGGTAGGTGATGGACAACCAGGGTGTCCTGGGGCACTCAGCTGCACACAGCCAGACCCCGAGAACAATTCTGGACCTACTGTTTAATTTTGTTTTGTCCAGATGTAAGTATTTAAATCCAGTAGCTCTGTGTAAATGATGTCCCAGTCCCAGGTCCCTGCTGTGCCATGGGTCCTGCTGTCACCAGAGCAGCCTGAATTTGAGATGTCACCCTCACTGTTCTCATAAATAACCAGCTCAAATGGTCGAAATAGTAACCTGAATTACATCACAGCTTGGTGGAATTCACACCTGATTCCTGTGGTGTTGAGGGGCCATCTGCCAGACAGACCTTAACACCACAAAGGAGCCTGTTTCCTTTCTTGGGCTGCATTAAAAATAATCTGAGCATCAGTTTTCACAGCCAAATTTATCAGTGGTGTCAGCAAAGCACTTTAACTGAAGGTACCAAAGCCGAGGTTCAGCAGGGACACAGCCCAGCAGACACAGCACTGCTCACAGGGAGAGCTGCTTGGGCTGTTTGGACTTACCATGGCCATGCCAGCGCCTTCAGAAGTGGCAGTTTCAAGCCCCAAGTTGTTTCAGGCAGGAATTACTTTTACTATGTAGGTGGAGCACCTAAAAGCAGCCTGGACCATGTTTAGGGCTTCAGGTGCTCCTGCACTGGAGCAGGGGCCTGCCTCCCTCCCAGGGATGGGTGCTTTCCCTGCAGAGAACTCTCCCATGAGAGCTGCAAGTGCTCAAACGTCAAGAGGAAATATCACTGTCGTGAAGATCTGCCCACACAATGTGCGGGTAATCTGAATCTTGGAGTGCAAACTCTCGCACTTACGAACTGTCTTTTCTGGAAATGATGAGACAAAGTTAAAAAATGACCTTTAGACACCTTCAGACATCACTTCCCCCTGACTATAACCTTCTGGTCACCTCGGGTGTTAAAGCATCCAGCAGGGTGGTAAGAAAAATAGCGTTAAGTCCTGGCAGAGCCAATGCAAATTGGCTGTAAGCAAATTGGAGATTGATGACTGTTTAGAGGAAAAAAACCACAGTGATCAGCAATCAGGAAAGCAAATTAAGCAGAGAT